CGTGGTGGGGGAGGTGGATTTGGGAGAAAAGTAGGGTCAAACCCGCAATCAGATCATTCACGGTCCTATTCGAAGGCAGAGTACACTCTGATTTTTACAGCATAGTTCCCAGGATTGGGAGGGTTCAATGATGAGCAAGGCCCGGGGCATTCCCTGTCTGTTTTGTTACCCTGCACCCACCCCCCCCCCCGCCCAACCCCCCAGGGCCTCTTTCCCCGGGCCGTGCTTTCTCTTCGCCCATTCTGCCTGGTTCATTCACTCTTTCATTCTCTCTCTCTCTCTTTCTCCGTCTATCTCTTGCTTTCTCCGTCTGTCTGTTTCTCTCAATCTCGTGCTCGCGCTCTCTGTCGTGCACGTGCACTCTTTCCCTCTCGCTCTCACGTGAGTGTTCTCTTGCTCGCTCTTTCTGGCTCGCGCTGTCTCGCGTGTGTTCTCTTGCTTGCGCTCTCACGCTCTCTGTCTCTTTGTCCGTTTCTCTCAATCTCGTGCTCGCGCTCTCTGTTGCGCACGTACGCTCTTTCCCTCTCGCTCTCACGTGCGTGTTCTCTTGCTCGCTCTTTCTCTCTCGCTTACGCTGTCTCGCGCATGTTCTCTTGCTCGCGCTCTCTGTCTCTTTGTCCGTTTCTCTCAATCTCGTGCTCGCGCCTTCACTCTCTGTCGCGCGGGCGCGCTCTTTCCCTCTGGCTCTCATGCACGTGTTCTCTTGCTCGCTCGCGCTGTCTCACGTGTGTTCTCTTGCTCGCGCTCTCTCTCTCTCTCTCTTTCTCCATCTCTCTCTTTCTCTGTCTGTCTGGCGCCCTTGCGCTCGCTCTCGCTCTGTCTCTGTGGAAACCTGACGTGGTTGCTGTGCTGTCTCCCCGTTGACAGGAGGCCTCCTGATCTGCCTACCACGGGAGCAGGCTGCTCGTTTCTGTGCCGAGATCAAGTCCCCCAAGTACGGCGAGGGGCACCAGGCCTGGATCATTGGCATTGTGGAGAAGGGCAACCGGACGGCGCGCATCATTGACAAGCCCAGGATCATCGAGGTGGCCCCAAGGGGAGCCTCCTCACCCCAGGACAACAATTCCAGCGCCAGCCCTGAAACCCCATCCTAATGGGCACCTGAAACACTGTCTGAGCCGCATGGGCCCACCCCTCCCCCACCAAGCTCGGTCCTGCACTCTAATTTCAATGTGGCACTGCCATCTCCGGCTGCCAGCGTACACTACGGCAACACCCCCCTACCCCGTCTACTTTCCCAGCGCTGGGCACCCAACTTCCAAAATACTGCCCCCATTCCTGTGTAGGTCGGAAGCTTGCAGCTCAGACCTGACCCCCACCCCCCGATTCGGAAGCACAAATGGTTACCTGACTTTCTTCCCCTCCCCCCAACCCTCAGGAATCGCTGAGCGACTGTGCCACCACCCCCCGCCTCCACATCCCCTCCTGTTTGCTGGAGCTGTCTGAGACAGACCGTCTCCTCTCCCAGAGCCCCATTCTCCCGTCAACCCCACTGCAGCGGGTGCCCCCCTTTCCCCCCGCCTCACGCGGGGGGGGGGGGGGGGGGATCAGAACGAAATCTCCCCCCCCCCCCCCCCACCACCGAATCCCGGGTGTCTGTGGGCAAAGCGAGGGGGGGGTTTTAATGTCCTGCTGGATATCACAGTGACAAGAAGAGGATGGGGGGTGGGGTGGAATTTCCCCTTTTCTCTCCCCCACACCCTCGGACAGTGACCAACCCCCCCCCACCCCCGATT